GGTGCAATGATGGAATTAAATAAGCATCCCACTCCAAGCACAGTGAAAATATAAAACAAATAGAACGTCAGGTGAGCTAGGAGATGAGGAACTTATCATCTTTTTCACTAGGTATTGTAAAAAGTGACAGTCTTGGAAGACTCATGATTTTTTTGACTTGGATAACAGGTAGTGCTACTCACTGAGATGAGCAACGTTTTTTTTTTAAGTACCAGTTTAACACAATACAGTGAGTTTGCTTATCTGCATATAAGATGCCTGAAGAGATATAAGGGCATCTGGTTCAAGATAGATGTTTCAATTAGAAAATTATATTTGGTAGGAATACATGTGATGGAGATAACTGACCCCATTGGGGAGGGGAGAAAGAAACTGGATTAAATATGAAATCTTGGGAAAATATTTTAAAAACAAAACATAGCCCTAAAAAAATAATTCTGAGTAGAAATAATGAAAAACATGAGAGAGTTTAAGGAATGTATTAACTAGTGTCAAACAACACAGAGGAGCCATGTAAAACATGAGTTAATAAAACAGTTTGTTTTACAATCACAAAATACTAATTATTGCATATATGAAGAAAAGAAACATTTCCTCTGTAAGAAGCCAGTCTGTGGTGCTATGCAAAGACTTTACAAGACTACAGACAATAGTCCTGTGTGCAAAGGAAGAATGTTTTTCTATCCTGGTGACTTTATCATATGCAAATAAGATTTTACTGATTTATCCAGCATGACCCTTAAGTTTGCATAAGAAGGAACAGCTTCAACCTCAAACTACTAAGTAGATACAGTCTTAAAAGAATTTGTCTGCAGCCTGCAAGATGGCTCAGTGGGTAAAGATAAAGGCTACCAAGGCTGACAACCTGAGTTCAGTCCCTCTACCTCACATGGTGGAAGAAGAGACTCCTGAAAGTCATACTCTGACCTCGACGTGCACAGCATGGTATGTGAGTACACACATACACGCACGCACATGCACAAACACATATTTTTCTAAATGTCTCTAATGTAATTAAAAATATGTTTAGTTATTAAGACACTCAGTTAATGAACACATTAAAAATAGTACATATTCACTTCTATTATATAATTAGGTATTTTGAGCTTAAATTATTAGTGGTTAATTTCCGAGGTTGACAGACATTCTGATGGGAATTCATACATAGGATTTATGTTTACCAACTGTCACATAACACAAAAGATGACAGATAGCCAGGTCACGCCTTAGAAAGGTTCTATGTAGATAGCAAGCCAGTATTTTGCTAGAAATATCAACTCCAGGGGTCCCTATGCAGAGGAGACAAGGAATGTAGTCTAGTCTGATACTTCATGTCCTCTTTAAATAATATCACCTTTTTTATTTTGTTGCATTCTAGAAAGTCAGACTCAAACTTTATAAATATCCCCACTTCGGAATCAAACACGTGGTTCATACTCTTGATGATAAAAACCACATCTGATTCATCCGTACTGTGTGCCAGGGTTCTGTGCAAGCACTTTTCATAGGCCATCTCATTCCATCTTCACCTGCTGTTACCTGCTCCACATTATAAATGACCCAGCCAGGGCTCAGATGAGTTAAACTGACTTACTCAAGGTCACTAAGCTTGCAGGAGGCAGAGTCAAAATTCAAACCAAGGCCACAATCTTATGTTAGAGCCCCAACTCTTAACTTTCGCTGTTGTTAAAAGCAAAGATTCATACTAAAAAGCATTCCCAACGTAGTCCAGGTTGGTTAGCATTAAGTACCAATGGAAAAAAAGAAGTTGGGGGAGGAGTGGTAGAATCCTTTTCAGAAGTCCAAATAAATCATGAATTTCTATTTGAGTCATTCCCAATTCTGTATGTGCTGTGCAAACATGTTCACTACAATGAACTCTGTAAGAAGCGAGGTGGGGCACAGAGGAAAGGGAACTTGTCCCTTCTGCAGTCGCCTGAGAGACTGCTAGGGAGCATCCACCTCCTGTTAGCAGGCAGACTCTGCAGACAACACAGAGACTGGCAGGATGTCTCACCCAGGCTCCCAACTACATCTTCGCTAAAACTCGTCTATCTTCCATTACTATTGCTTAACACGTAAAAGAAAACGCTACTGCACAAAAAATAAAGCTTGTTTGACCTAGCTCAGTGATACACTACACTTCCGAGGTAAACATAATCTGTTTGGGTTGAAATGCAAGCACTTCCTCTTGCTGCTTCAACCAAACTCTATCCACTTCCTGTATGTGAAGCCTTCACTTCTCAGGAGGCTCCAAGAAAAGGAGTAATAAAATCATCTTGTTACATTATATTAAGCCTAATCCTCCCGATACTGGGTCCTTAAGAAAGCTGTGCCATGCGTGCTCCTGACTGCAGAGGGGAAAAGGACTCCCCCATATCTCCTCTTCCCTCTGTTGATCTTCACACCCAGCACAAGAGGAAAATCTTCCTTTTGGTTCTTTCTTCTTTCTCATTCCCAAATAGCTATCCTCCTACCAAGACCAAGGATAAACTGTTTGCAATCAGCAACTTCACTTTAGTAAGAAGTATTTACCATCATCCACCATGCAGCTTTTTGGGCTGTCGCTCTATTTCCAGAAGTGCACAACACAGTGCATAAAGGAGAAAAAGAGAATATTCCTAACTTGAAATTTAAAATTGCCTACAGACCCAAAGTCTCCATACCCCTTCCACAGCCTCCGTTTAGTTCTCTCCTTTGCCCTCCAACAACAGCTATTATTTCCCCCCTACTCTGGAGATGGAACTCTAAGGCACAAAACTATTAAGCTAATTGACCCAAGTCTCACAGGTCATCAGAAGGGCACACAAATCTCAGTTGCACATGTCTTAACCCAATATACAATGTCCAGTTTATTTTCTACAGAATAAAACATCTGCTTTTGCGAACAAATCTAAAATAGTTGTATTTAAGTCCACGAACTACACTACGCAGCCAAAGCCTGGTCTAGAATATTTTTTCATTCTGGCATTCACTGCCCAGGAAAGAAGCAAAACAAAGAACCAGGCAGACATCAAAATACAGCACAGGGGAGAAAGCACAGTAAGAGGACAGTGGTTTTCACTGGCTTTAACCTGAAATCACTTACATAATATGCAACTACAGAATCAAATGAATCAGAAGTGGTGGGGCTTCTCAGCCACAAGGACACAGTATGATCTTAAGGGTACTAATGACCTCAAGTGGGAGGCTCTGCCCTGTCTCTAACTGTGTTATGGGTACTCTAAACTGAGTGCATCCGATGTTTTTGAAAGTCTCTGTAGAAACAGAATTTAACTCTGAAGGTAGATCTGACTTTTAAAAAACAGGCAAAGAAAAGTCACAGAGGACTTTCTTCACCATTTAGAAGAGATGGACAGCTGAAATGGGAAATGCTTGTCAGCCTTAAAGCTATCATGTTTTAGGTATGTGCTACTGATGGACTCAGGAAATAGTTCATGAGTATTTTCTCATTTATTATCACAACTACACTATCAGCAGCTTCACCCCGCGTCTACAGATGAGGAAATGGAGTTCAGAGGGGTCAGTTATCTTGCCCAAGGTCAACAGAGGCAAAACTAGTGTGTAAACCCAGATGTTCTGGATTCTGAAATCATTGTGGAAGCTCTGGTGGAAAGCGGGCACACACAGTTTCTAAAGAAGTATCTACCTGGGAATTGTGTGATCGTCAGCCTGTTCAGTCTTGTGTGGTGGGCAAATGGCATACTGCATCTTATCTTTCCACATTCCAAAACTGGTGTTAGTACCATTGCAAAGAATTACACAGCTTAAATAGGGACAGCATTATCAGAATAAACATGAACTGCTTTGGAAGAAACAAAGAATCATTTAGAAGAATAAGTTCTAGATAAGCTTTTTTGCAATACCAACTAATTGCTAAATGAAACGATCATTTATTTACAGACAGAAGCTTAAGTTCCTGAATCCCTCAAGTGCACTCAGGTAAACATTCGTATCAACCAACCCACCAAGTACATACCCAAGGCCTACTAGTGCGCATTGCAATAGGAGATACTATGCGGCCCATGCTGGAAACATTCTCCGTCCACATGGAGTTACCATGTTGTTTCCAGCCGAGCACAGAGTCAGTCGTTATTGGTACAACCAAATTCCTCCTGTGCTATTAGAGTTTGTGTAAGCTGCCCTACAAAGAAAGCCTGCTCTATGGAAAAATCATTAGATCAATTAGATCATTTTCCCAGCGCCCCTTTCACTGTCTTGTGAGACCCACACAGTGGAGGCTAGCTTTAGCATCGGTGTTGCTATTCGTGAGTTAATTTTCCTTATGCAGAATTCAGCCTGCTCCCTGCCCCCCTCTCTCCCTTCTTGCCTCTTCCACCCGAAGTGGAAACTGCAGACTCAAACTCCCCGATGGCTCCAGCACCAAGAACTGGGCATGCTCAGAAGGCCGGGAAGGCTTTGGTTGCAACTGACAGTTCCCCGCCCCTGATTTGCCGCTGCCCCCCTTCCCCCACTCCAACAAGAGATACCGAAATGTTTATCTGAAAGATACGAGGCCTCTTTTTCCCGAGAATGACCCCATTTTAATTTCATCTCGTGGGGTCTTCAGTCTGGAGAACCCCACCGCTAGCCCGAGAACACTGCATTATTTTTTCAGCACCGGGGACAGCGCCGCGCTGCCTCCGCCGTCCACCCTCCCCCACCTCCTTCCACCCCCCACCCGCCACCCGCCCCAACCTCAGCCCCCACCCCCGCACCAGCACAATGCCAAGGTCTCCCAGCAGCCGCAAACGCCGCAGCTGCGATAGTTCCCAGCCGGAGGCCGGGCCGAACGCCGGGCCGGCTGCTACTTACACTGCTCCGCTTTGGTGGACATGGTGCTGTCCAGATGGAAAGGCTTTGCCCCAAAATCTGTGTCGTGTGAGCTCCCTCGCTCCGCCAGCGATGTTGCGAGGAAAAGAGCGCATACCCCCCACCCCCCACCCCCTCGCTTTCCCCCTCCCTTAGGCCCGTGTCGCTACCATTCGGACAAAACGCACATCAAATTGCAGAATTCGGTCCCGGAAGGTTAGGAAATCGCCCCCGGAGAAATGGGTGGGATTTAATGGGCGGCCAAAGGCTTCCTGTCCGTCCCCTCCTGGAGCTGCCCGCGTGGATGTGGGCGGGGAGACCGAAAGGAGAGAGCGAGCTGCGGCTCCTGGTGAAATGGGAAAATGGGCTCGACCGGGGGAGGAGTATTTCCATTCATAAGGCGCACGGAGGGGCCGGGTGTTTCCCAGAGAAAAGCCTCTTAAAGTGCCGGAGTCCCCGACCATTTGGATCTCCCCATTGGCGTTCTCCAGGCCCGTAGATCCTGCGGGCGAAGCAGCCCCCGGCGCCTCGACGCGGTGACCCGAGAGGAGCACAGGTGCGTCCCACGCGCCGTCTCAGCCTCCGGGAGGAAGGGCAGGGAGGCGGATCCGGGGCGGGCTGCACACAGCCGGGCCGGAGGGCGACGACGGTGCTCCCGAGGACTGCGAGGAAGGAAATGGAGAAGTAACACTCTGCATGGCTTCCCGGCGTGCTGCGCTCCGTGCCCTCTGCGTCCCCTGGCGGATGGGCTCTCCTGCTGCTGCTCAGCGATGGGAGGTCCCACTGCCAGGGGGCTGTGAGAAGACTTGAGGGGATGGGGGTTGGAGCTAGGGAAAGGAGGAGATTTCCATAGATGGTGAAGCTGGAAGGTCCACAGGAAAAAAAAAAAAAGGAGAAACTGGAGACAGGAAGAACCCAGATATGCTCCTTACAGCAGTCCAGCCTGGGAGCGGTGGGAAGCCCCTTTATCTGCTGGGAAGCAGAAACCAATAGAAATGGGAAGCGATCAAAAGGGACCATGCATATTAATCGGAAGACGCCTGGACAGTCCACCTCAAAGTAACAAAGGCATTGGAAGCCCGGACCTAAAAGACCCGGATCCCAGACCCAGGTCCCATCGCTTTCTCCCCCAGCTGTTCTTTCCATCTCTCCAAGTCTGTGGTTCTTCGTCATCTGTAAAATGGGAACAATACAATCCATCCTGCCACCCAGAATTAATGGGCAGACAAACAATACAGCGGAGGTGAGAGTTCTTTTAAAATGGAAAACTGCGGCTAACTGCTAGCCATTTAGAACCATTCTTCATTCAAGTCGTTCAGGTGGGAAACTGAGGGGCAATGATCATAGCAAACTGATTTAACAAAAGCAATAGGAACTATAAGTCGAGGAGTGATTTTTAGTATCTATAAAACCAGTGTTCTTCCATCTCATGAAGAATGATCTGCAAGTTAAGGGAAGTCATACTAAATTCCTTGTGAAAATGTACTAAGTATCCAGATCTTTGCCTGCTAAGAAAAAAAAAAAATACTGTGAACAAGTACACGGTATTCCAAGCGCGCGGGGGGGGGGGGGGGGGGGGGGGACCTCTAGGGAGCTGTCCATGGTACACACGGCAGAGTTGCTGAACTGCACACAAGCGAGCAGAGATTTGGCACTTGAGGATGCCCGTGTGATTGCTTTATTAGTAGGTAGGTTGGCACTTGCCCGGGCTATCGCCCTAAACTATTGTTCACTTCCTAAACCTCAGCACCGTCTTCAGGCAAAGATAAAATAATTCTGTGAAGAATGATGGTGAATCTTGAGTAAATAAAATAAAATAAATGGAAGTCGGTCCGAACAAAGCTATGACTATAACAAAAATTTCTGAGAAGATGGCAAATGTTTTGCGTGAATAAAGGAAAACTTAAGGACTTACCCAAAAATTTCTGAGAAGTTTGAGGTTTTAATAAAGAAAACAATAATTGAAGTTTGAAAGGGGAAAAAAGTGGCTTGTGCAAACACCAAACAAAGGAGGAAAGAAGTATGCATTGGAAACTATCCCCACCTCCTTCTCTGCCAGCCATTTCTGTGTCTGTCATTTAACCTCCACTTCCACACTGAGAACTGGACACTGCTGAGGTCATGGCCACCCAGGTTAACCTGGATCTGGGTTTCAGATCTGCTCTTTGTGGTCCTATTCAAGTCTTTTCACTTTCTATGTCTAGATTTTCTCATAAAAAAAATAGTGACACAATAGTCCTATCCAAAGCCATTGTCAGGATTAGATGAGCATGCCTGTGAGAGCCCAGGGCAGCCAGCGCACAGGAGAGGTCGTTGTTGTTGGCAGTACTGCTCAGGATGCTCACATGCACATGCACCCCGTCCATTCAGATCAGTTCTCTGTGGGACCTTTCAACGCCTCAATTCGTTCACATCATTGACACTACTCCTCAGCCTTGACTCTCACTAGTTCAGCCTTCTGACTTGTGATCGATTGGGTTAATTCACTAGCCTGGACACACTCCTTCTTTTCTTCTCTCTGTCTCCTGCCTGGGTCAACCTTTCTTGCTACCTTTTATCCACTGCAGAAGCTGTGCCTCTGCTTCTTAAACCCTGCCTGTAGTTATAAATGCTTCCGTTTGTTCTGGATAAGTGAGTGCTCAGCACATAGAGAACTTTTCCACTCTGAAAAAGTTGGACTAATCATTCAACTGAACAAGTAGCCACGTCTCTATGAACCACCTGCACTGTCTTGCCTACTTGCTGTTCACTACTGGTGCAATAGATACTTCAAACAGTCACTAATCATTCCCTGTTACCCAACTGCAATTATTTTAATTCTTGGGGCCAACGTTTGAAATAGTTCCCTATTCCTTTTTAAAACTCCCTCTTCCCGGGGCTGGAGAGATGGCTCAGTGGTTAAGAGCATTGCCTGCTCTTCCAAAGGTCCTGAGTTCAATTCCCAGCAACCACATGGTGGCTCACAACCATCTGTAATGAGGTCTGGTGCTCTCTTCTGGCCTGCAGACATACACACAGACAGAATATTGTATACATAATAAATAAATAAATAAATATTTTTTAAAAAAAAAACTCCCTCTTCCCTAGACCTCTGTGGTACACACTGTTCTTTGCTTCTTGCTTGTGGTTCAAGATGTGAAACCTCAACTTCCTGCTCCTGCCCCATGCCTTTGCTCTGCCATCATAGACTCTTACCCTCTGAACCCTTAAGCACAAACTCTTCTAAAAAAATGATAACTGATAGCATGAATACTAATATCATTACATAGCTCCACCAGATCTTAATGTTATTATATTATACCTAATATTTATGTTCCAGAAATAAAATATTTTACAGATAATAGAAGCCCTTATAAAAATTATTATGGGACAGGAGAGATTGCTCAGCAATAAAGAATCCATACTGCTGTTCCAGAGGACCCGAGTTGGTTCCCAGGACAAACTTGCGACTCACAACTGCTACTCTAGGGGGATATCATGACCCAGACCTTCATGGACACCTGCACACATGTGCACAACCCTCTCCCCACATAAACATTTAAACAATTAAAATGCAATCTTTTTTTTAAAAATCTTCTGTACATAGATCCACAAAGATATATGTTTGGGGGCTGATGAAATGTATTAGTGATTGAGAACACTTGCTACTCTCCTCATAACTACCTGTAACTCCAGTTCCAGGGGTTCCAAAATCTTTTCTGGCATCACAGACACTGCATGCATGTGGTGCACAGACATACATGCAGGCAAAACACCTACACACAAAATTAATTTTTCAATTTTAAAATATATATATATATTTATACATTCTATTCTTGTGTCTGCACAGTACATGCTAAGCAAACACTGGGCTATGTCCCAAGCCCTATCTCATAGATAGATATGTAGGTAGGTAGGCAGATTTTGTTTTTTCAGAAAGTCTCATGCATGTCAGTTTAGATTCTAACTCATAGAGTAGCCAAAAATGACCTTGAACTTCTGAGATCCCGGTCTTCACCTCCTGGATATTAGGAGTGTATGTATGCACTACTGCACTTAGTTTATGTAGTGCTTAGAATCAAACCCAGGACTTCATTCACACTAAACAAAAACACTCTGCCAAATGAACGATGTACCTACACTCTATTTCCCATATTTTAAGTTTATATAATTATTGCCAAATTATAGATGTATTTGTAAAACTTTCTGCTCAACATCGCATTCTTAGTTAATCATGCCAATTTAGCACTCGGTTATTTATTTGTTGTGTGGAATGTGTGGAGGGAAGTCAGAGGACAACCTCTCAAGTGTCTGTCCTTTCCTTTACACCTCGTTTCATGTAAGTTCTCTTGTTGATCACTTCTGTTGTCTCTGCTTCCCATCTCACCACAGGATCACTGGCAGGCTACCACACCCAGATTGACAGGAGCTCTGGCAATCTTTTCGTTTGTGTGTTTGGGTCTTTTGTTTTGTTTTTCTTTGTGTTGTCCAGCTATCCTAGAACTTGCTCTGTATACCAGGCTGGCCTCAAACACAGAGATCTGCCTGTCTTTGCTTCCTAGGTGCTGGGATTAAAGACACAGCAATTACTTTACCCACTAAGCCATCTCCCCGACCTGCTTATTGATTCATAGAACTATCCCACAATTAATTTACTTACGATCTTATTGGTGGAAATTTAGATCATTTGCGATAATTTTCTTTTCGGAAAACAAAGTTCAGTGAGCACTGTGATATATGCCCTTATGTCCATAGATAATAATTCTCAAGGGCAGGTTCAATTTTTTTTTCTAGGTGTTGTCGAATCCCTCACTGAAGTGATCATACCAATTTAGACTCCTTCCAGGTTCTATTTCCATTATGGCCAAATAAATGACTCTATCAGACCTATGTTCCCACAAACAATAATTATAAACCCTGGATAAAAGACCAAAACACTCTCTCAAAGTATTGGAGAGATTCTCAAGAGTCATCAACATTTGGAAGAAAGAAATGGCTCCAGATGAGTTTTCATTGCTTGTGGCTAAAGGCTGCTACTCACAACGGTTAAATACTCCAATAGTGTGCTCAAAGCATTTCTTACCAAAAATAGCAAAACACGTAGTTTAAAATAACTACAGCTGCTGGAAAGTGAGGGGAGAATTATAAGACAGAGCCAGAGCAAAAGAGGAACAGATTCTGTTTCTCCCCCCAAATCTCTAGCTGATTTCCAGACACATCCATGGACAACACACAAGCAGCAACTCCCAAACGGGGAGCAAAAGAGCTAAGCAAAGATTTCTGCGCATGCCCAAGAGTTAGTCTGTATTTAATTAAACAACTGCTTTTTTAAAAATCAACACTCCTTTTTCTTTGGCTATTCTTCTTCTTTGTTTTATCCTATTCCAGTTTTATTTTATTTTATTATTTTTATTTTTTTATTTTTATTTATTTTTTTTTATTTTTTTATTTTTTTTATTTTTATTTATTTTTATTTTTATTATTTATTTTAGAGGATGGTCTGTTTCCTAGTGAGAGAGAGAAAGGCTGTGGATTAAGGTGGAAGGGAAGATGGGTTGGACCTGGGAGGATTTGGGGGTAGGGAATCCATAAACAGAATATAACAAAACACAGAGCCTCCACAACATAATAGTCACGGTATCTAGGATAAAATCCAAATTTTTTTGACATAT